CAGCCGTGCCGGAGAAGTGGCAGAGAACTGGGCAGACAGCTCACCCAGAGCACGGGGGGTGCCCCCAGCCCTCCCCGCTGGACTCCGGGGCTCTGCTGTGCCTGCTGGCCACCCAAGGCCATAGGCCGAGGTCACTGCAGGCACCTGCGCCACATCACTCAAGCCTGGTCCTGTGCCACGGAGGCTTCCCAGAGCAGGGTGGTGCTGGGAGCCAGGGCTGGGGCCACCCGTGGTCTGGGGGAGCTGAGCTGAGATAGCAGGCACCTCTGTGCCAAGCCGCTGCGCAGGGGACAGCATCGCAGCCCCTGCTGTGCCCAACCCGAGCCCTTCCCTGTGCCCAGATCCAGACTGCCACTGTGGTGAGGTCAGAGCTGTCACAGGAGAGGCAGTGGCTGTGGTTGGTGTCTCCAGGCTCCATCCCTCAGCATCTGTACCATGGCTCATGCCTCCTTCAGACCCCAGAAAAGAGCCTGGGGTGCCCACAGAGCCCGTCAACACCCTCCCATGCTGCTGCATCGCTGGTTCCTTGAGCAGGTCCCCATGTGTTGTCACCAGATCATCACCTACCCCTTGCTGGGAGGCTGGCGAGTCCTGACGAGTGTGGGAAGGAGGCAGGGACCCCGGGGTGGCCTGGGGCAGAGCAGCCAAAGTCCCCAGGCCGTAGGGGAGAGCAGTGGCAGAGAGGCAGATGGCCAGCACCAGGAAGGCTTTGCACCACAGCCTGCTGGCAGCGGTGGCCACAGGGCCAGCAGGACCCAGGGCCGTGGCCACAGCCCCTTCCCTCTCACCACGGAGCATCACTTCTGGCTGTAGGGCAGCAATGTCCATGGGGCCTGGTGGTCCTACCCCTCGGCTCTGCTTGGGAGAGGCCATGGGGGAGCCCAGCTGTGGGGAGGAACAGCAGGAGCTTTAGGCTGGGTCCCTCCAAGCTCCCCCCACACTTGAGCCCACCCCAGTGACAGCAGCTGGCCCAGCCACAGAGTGTTTCACCCACCAGAGCTGGGAGGCCCCTCATCAAAACATCTCCCTGGTCTCCAGCAGCACTAAGCAGCTTCCCCAGCTCAGGAAATTTCATGTCAAGCCTCAGCACCTCTCAGGAGGTGCTAGGGAGGCTCCTGGTGCAGAGCAGGGCTGTAACCAGCCTTGAGCTCAGACATTACCTCATTCCCTGCCCAAAACACCCACGTGTTCCCAGATAACCTCACCAGGGACAGCAAGACTTTCCCAGCCACCTGCTGCTGCTGCCCCCCCCCCCCTTCCCTGAAGGCACCAAGGAGAGAGCACCAAGCCCCTACCCCAGCCCTGTGCTTTTATCTCATTTCCCGAGGGGGTGGGAGCGTGGCTCCATTCCAGCTGCTCCAAATTAACACACAAACTCATTTGCACTCCCCCAGGTGAAGTTCTTTCCCGGCTGGAGGGGTCCCAGCTTCTTTCTGCTCCTCATTAAGCCCTTGGCAGAGGAAGGAGCATGTGTGCTCATTCCTCCAGGCAGGTTGTTCCCCAAACACCATGGATGCTCCTCAAAACGCCCTATTTGTGGAGAGCGGGTCATGGCAGCACTGTTCCCCTGCTGGGCTCCAGCAATTTGGGCTGAAAAATGTGGCTTGGGGTGCTTAGCTCTCAGACCCAGGCAAATTTTGTGTTTCTGATGGAGGCTCACAAGGGGTAAGGTGTCTTGGGGGTCCCTGCTGAATCAGCCCGGGGTGCATCGCCCCAGCGGCTGGCAGAGGAGCCCTGGGGGACCGGTGCCATCCCTGCTGCACCCCACGGCTCTCCTGCCCGGTTTCTGATGCACAGACGCCTCTGCCAGCACCCTCCTCCCGGGCTGTCAGCCGGGGGGCTCAGCACATACCCCTCATGGATGCTCCCTTACCAACGGGTGACCCACAGGGATCCCTGCACCCCCGGGCACCCCCAGATCCAGCCCTCTAGCAGAGGGGCTGGGCACATCCCTCATGGCTTGTAGGGAGAAGCAGGCAAGTGCATTGGATGGGTGGCCCAAACCTGTGGTTTGCTCTGCCCAGCTAGCCAGGCAATGCTAGGTGCTGATTTGGGACCTCCCCCCGTCCCCAGCAAAGTCCCATTGTGCCCACGCTGGCAAGCAGAGACTGAAGCATGACATGTTTGGAAAGAGCCAAACCCTTTTAATTGGGCGAGGCACTTCTTAAAATTCATATTCTTAAAAAATATTAAATAAAGTGAAAGAACTTTCTTCTCTGGAACCTTATATACATATAAAAATGACAATATTATTAATAAACACTGCTTTCCAAGTCACTTTACAGTGCTATGCACAGACATGGCGTGGCAAGGGAGAGTGAGGAGAATAGCAGTGTTCCCCCCCTTCCCTGTCCCTGACACGGCCGGTATATCCCAGTGGAAAACCAGAAAGGCACCCACAGAAAACATGGCAGGGGGTAGCCACTGCCTCCCCAAGCCAGTAAACACATCTTTCGGCTAAAACCAGTCTATGGTACGTTTTGGGTAGGGTTTTTTTTTCTTTTTTTTCCCCTCTTTTTTCTTAGTTTAAAATAAATATTTCCTGTAGTGAAATTAAAAAAAAAAATAAAAATCCTCATTTTGTTCCTCCACGCCTTGTGTCTGTCAGCTGGAAAAGCACCTGAGTGTCGAGTTTGTAAGGCCTCTGCTGTGTGCTGCTGCTGCAGATCGAGCGAGGGGGAGTCCCTCCTTGGCTGCCGGGATCCCCCCTGGGATGCCATCACCCCTCCAGTGCCCGTGGGGTGGAAAGGATCTCTCCTGCCAGGGTCTCGCAGCATTGCTCGCCTCCCCTGCCCCTCACACCGGGGTCACCACTTCTCGATCAAGGTCATCTCTAAATGTGCATCTCCCACGTTCTCCTTCGGGACAGCTGGGATCTGTGTTGTAAAGTGGTTTTCTTTAACAGTCTTCAAATCTTTCTTGCAGCCTTTTTCAGCTACAATCGGGACTGAAACTCAGCCCGAACGGTATCGCTCCCGTTGCCGTAGTCCAGCACAGTAAACAAGTGAAGCCATCAGTTTAAATAAAAAAAAACAATATAAATTACTATATTTAAAAAAACCCCAAATCCCACATAACCTGAAGGCAGCAGCTCCTTATAAAGGTAAATTTGTAACATTTTTAAAATGTCTTCCTTTAAAACAACAAAAAATTCAGTCCTGTAACTACAGAATGCAATTCCCTTGACCCTTAATGTTGTGTTAAGCCTCCGTAGCACTTTACAGATTAAAAACCAGGAGGAAGGTACTTTTATTGGGATCGGCATGTGTAAAGCAGGAGAGGCGAGTTCGAGGAGGGGACGTGGTAAATCACCCCTGCAGCAGCCAGCCTTCCCCCAAGGCTGGGGACGGGGCTGTGGCCATTCCCATGCTCCCCTTGCGGGTCCAAACATCGCTGCAGCCCTCCACCTCCACTGGAACTCCAGCCATTCCCTCCCAGTTCACTGGCTGCAGCCTGGCCGGTTGTGGATGGAGGTGGGAGATGCACTAAAAGATGACGTGTTGAAAGACGCGCAGCTCCAGCAGCCCTGAGG